TTGTTGGGGGCAATATGCTGACTCTCTGTAAACCGCTTAGAGAGGCCTGAAAGGCCTATGAAGCGGTATATAAGTCTACTGCTATTGCTATTGCTATTGTATATTGGTTCAAACCAATTCAACAGTTGGTTCTAGTTCTTCAAGTGGGCCAAGTCAGAAACAAACCCCAAAATTACTGTTAAAACTCTACTGTTGTAGAATTATAGTAACAGAATATTGAAAATGTAATTTTCCATTCTCTCTTCTTCTTCTAAAGAGAATCAAGGTGAAACTATTTGATTTTTTTCTCACCTCTTCTTTTCCAGAATTATTGTTTACTTAACCACTTTTTCAGTTCTTCAACAAGATTAACTCCATAATTCTTTACAATCACAATCTGTTTTTTAAAATTTATTTATTTATTGATATATTTATTAGTTTAGTTAAATATATTTACCATGGAGATACTTTCGGTGGCTTACAATGGTAAAACAGAAGAAAATGATTAAACAGAATGTAAACATAACAATAGCAAAACAATTAAAAAATAAACAAGAAAAGTATAATAATATGAATTTAAATATGGGTAGAGGGGGAGCAGAAAGCACAGAGGTGTTTGGGGTCAGCTAATGATAAAATGCCGCACACTGGAGATACACCCCTATTAGGTCCCCAGGCCAAGCAGCAGAGCCAATCTTCAGGCCCTTGAGGAAAGATAGAAGGGTGGATCAAGCCTCATCCTGGGGGCAGGATGTGCCAGAGGGCTGGTAATACAGCAGATACTCTTCCTTGGAACATTCACACAATCAGAGCTTTGCTGTTTACACAGCTAATTCAACAATGTCAATGTATAATATTGATTATATTTGATTTTTATATTATATTTTGATATTGATTTACTTCAATTTGAATAATAATAATTGTTGATATACATATTTACTTATTTTTTTCTACTTTACAATCCTTTTTATAATACACTTTTTCAATGATACAGATGAAATTTACAGACATAGTTATGGTTTTGCGGATTACATAAATCCATTTAAAATTCAGAATAACCATACTAAGATTGCATGGAAGTATTCTAAGAATACCACAAAAATGTAAATATGACCCACATTTTTAAATGACTTACATTTAACAATTAAGAAGACTGAAAACAATTAGACTTTTAGGGATAATGTACAATATTTAATACTTTAGCATGTCTCATGCTACAGCATAAAGCAATTCATTAATTAGCAGTAGTACTATGAGTCACTGATCTAATGAAATACATTAATTGTCATCCTATGTTCATACTTTTCCTCCCATGAAAACAACAGATGTGCTTGGATGAGGACAATTTTTTGCATTTAATACATGAGTATGGAGCATTATGTCTTTAATTTTGGACAGAAAATTGTCTTGCCCCAGCTCTTGTAAATATTTAAAACATTTAAAGCAAAGGAAGATTTTATTGTAAATAATATAGTAGGAATAAACAATTTCCATCAGTTTAAGTACTATGCAAAGCTTTTTGTAGCATATGAAGAGCCACCTTCCAGGACTGTGGGGTGGGAATTGTTTTCAGAGTATACTTTAGGTAGCTTAAAGAGTGTGGATGACTTAGAACAAGCAGTCAATCATTTATCACTTGAACTGCACCTAAATGTCCAACAAAATGAAAAACAGCTAAATTTAGCTTTGGCATCTAGAAGACACAGAAGGAATCTGAACTTTCTGTATCTTTGTAATGTAGTATGATTTGATGGGATTGGACTATAATAGTTACATTTTTCTATTATGTCTAATAACTGATGATAATATTATCCATTAGGGTTGACTCACAATTAAAGATATATTCATTAAATCTTGTCAGTCTGATGATATCAGCAAAGGGGATGATATGTGATGAAAAATGGATCTTTTCTTTGAATAGCAATGCTAATGTAGCACACTTTGTGGTAAATCTGTCCATTTGGATAATGCAATCTGTGAAGCAGAACATCCAAATGAGCTTTGAAGCAAAGCATTGTGGGCAGCTCTTTTACCTATGTAGGAACTGAACCTCTTCTTGCAACTTCATTCTACTAAGGTTGACATATCTTAGAGTTTCACACTCACATCAGTGTGAAGATTCCTAGGTGATTCCACCTGCATAAGGTCCATTCCTGCTAATATTTATATTTAGAGTAGGCTAAAATATCCACATTTTGTAGCATGGCTTTATTATCTATTGGTATAAAGAGCCACTGGCTTTTCAAATGTCACTTAACTGCAATCTCTATTCCTATTCATTGCCTTTGCTAGCTGCATTTCCAGGACTACACTTTCCCCAGTCTTGAATTAATATGTAAAGAATTGGTAATTTAACTCTGTAGCATGCATCCAGAAACTATATTGCTCTAAAAAGGCAGGAAGAGTTTGCAGCATATGGGTAAATAAAATTGCATCTATGAACCCCATTCAGCATTCAAATGATACAGTATACCATGCTGTATTTAGTGGATCCTAGATTTATGCCACTGGGTACAGTAATATGTGAGGCCCTAAGCAAACCTAAATTTGATGATAGTTTAATTATTACTAAATTTAACAATTTGGCAATCAATTGTAGTTCATTGCAGAGTCAGCCAGATATTCAGACTGGCTTTGGCATTTTTATCTATCGAGTTCTTCCCAAGGACCTGGAATAGACAGAATTTGATATCTGATTGTGTGATGAACCAAAATAATGAGGCAGCATATTATCCCACCATGCTACACTGGAGAAAATATTACATTACATTAGAACTATAACATATTCCATATGCGTTGTGAGTAAAGAAGACAGCCTGGTTGTATTAGATTTCCATTTTACTCAGAAAAATTACTCTGGGAATATTAGCAAAACTATGGTCTCACCATCACCCACTTTTGCTGGGACTTCAAGAATACATGAGCCCGCTTTAACCCAGTTCTAGTAACTCTTACATTATTTTAAGCACAATTAATGCAAATATTAAGGAAATATTATTACAATGTGTTCTTGTTTATTCCTAAAGAACATGAGTTCTTTACTAATTCTCAGTGATAATGTCAGGCTCTACATGAAGTTTTGTTTCCTCATGATTCATAATTGCAGTAACACCATTGGAGTAAGGAAGAACAGCAAGGCTGAAGCCAGGGCTTCCATAGGATATGTCCCAGTGAAAATTGATTGGGAACAGGAAGTATTGACTTGGTGTGGTTGTGCACTGCATGGTGAATAGCTTGAAGAATTTCATGGAAGTGGCTCTCTGTTTCTGGTGTCAGTGGATTGTTTTCTTCTGGGTCCTTGGAAAGATCAAAAAGTAGTGGTGGATCATGATATGTGACAAACTGCCCATGGCAGAAGCACACATGATAATCGTGGCAGCCATTAGATTCTTTGGGACTGAAATTTGGAGTGAAGTAAAATATCTTCCAAATAGAGTTACCTATAAAAATGGAGGAGGAAGACAAAGTTGAAGATATGTTATGAAGATATCCCATAATTGTGATAATCAGATTCCAAATACACTCATCTTCCAAGGGTATAAAGTCATTGTTTTTTACAATAGACTAGGAGTAATATATTTAAAATTCTGCATACAAAAGACAAATTCCAGATATTTGAAATATAATTCCACAATCCATCAGTACTTTAAACCTTAGTTTTCTCAAGAATGTGATCCAACATTATAACACCTTATTTAAAAAGAGTAACTGTTTGACAATAGCACATGTACTAATGTTCCATTATACCTAACACCTGATAAGAACAGTTTGATATTAGTTAGCCTTGTGCCTTAACTTATACCAAAATGGCCTTTTTATCCTTATAATACAATTTCATATATTTATTTCCATTAAACAACTTTTTTCTAGGAATAATGACCCCCTGGTGTTTAGAACCATGACAACGAACAAAGGCTAATTTTTCACAAACATCTATAGTTGCTTTTACTGATTGGCATTATATTAGATTTATTGTAATTTATTGTGTATTTCCTACTGTTGTTATAGTTTGACAAATCTTGATTATCATTATGCAAGCCATTATCTTCATCTTCGTATTTCATCTGCATATATTGTTTGTTATTTCTGTTCCATGAGTTCCGCAGATTCAGTAGATTGTATTATTAATTGTAAAATTAAACATTAAAGGAATTAAAATGAGCCTTGATACATTCCACTTCTCCATTTGATCACAAAGAAGATAACCCCACCAGTATTTACCCTTGCAGCAGAATTAAAATAATACATTTTATGCAAGAAATTTGTACAGGAAGGCATTTTTCTTTATAACTGTATTCTGAAAACTTTATATGAAAACCTTTTTTCTTCATCTAATGATCTATTTATAAAACATCTATTTCATTTTTTTATTGACATATCATGCAAATATATCTACAAAAAACCCTCTAATATTATTGAAGGGTTGACATCTTTTCAAAAAGGCAGACTATGCTGGATAAATTATTGAAGGGAAGCCAGTTTGTAGCCTTCATGTCAAAGTGACTGTTACAATCAACATCAATAAAACAGTAGCTCACACAATCCATAGGGTCCTTTCTGCTTTAATATAAATACAATACATGGTGAAGGTATTTCTTTTCAAAATATTTTTATATGTCTAACAAAGTAGAGACAAGCCTTCCTTTCAATTTTTACATAATTCCACATTTGTTCTAAAAATTATGGTGCAGCTAAATCCTTTGAATGGACAACTGCAATTTTGGGAGATTTATTCCATTTAAAAAGGTATTCATCTGAACTAGAAGTCTCCTCCAACTCTGTTATTCTATTCAATGGTATAGCTGTGTTCACAAAATATGATTTTGTAAAACTCCATACATTGGGAATTAATATCATTATAGTTCCTATATGTTATCCCAAATACTTTCCTAAAGTAGGCATTATCTTTCTACTGTTTCTGGCAAGAATTTAGTGGTTTACCAGATTCTCCTACCTATTCTCAATAGTTTTGTTTAATACATTTGAATGAATATTTAGTAATGAAAGCATGCTATTGATTAAATTACAAATTAAGCCACCTTAAAATGTCATATACTTTAAAAATATGATTTCTGATGTCTTTAAATTCTTTTCTAACTTTAGACAATGTCGTTCAATTTTTCCCCTAGAGGCACAGGCTGTGGTCTTTTCTCTTATACCTGTTTCAAATGAATAAATTTTCTTTTTATTTGGGTGAAGATACATTTATCTTTCTTTTATACATATATTTTTCTTTCATAGTTCATCTAAACAATGTGACTCTGGGGAATATACAACACAAAAAATAATAATCAACAACAAAAATTTCATACCCCCCAAACCATGTAATTTTAAAACATGTACAATATAAAAACATTAAATACAAAAATGACTGGAATATCATTACAGACTTTTTGAATAAAACAAAAAAATGAGCTTATGATTTATCTCAATGATGATTGGACCGTATAGAAACAATAGAGTTATGTTGTAACCATAGAGTAAGAAATACAATTACAAAACAATCAAAAGGAGCTGTCACTCAATTGGCCCCGAATGCCTGGCGATCCCAAAAGTACAACCCTCCTCCCCAAAATGGAATGGGACTGTTCACCTCGTACCCTTCGCTGCCCCTTGTTCGCCCCCAGGGTTCTGCCCCCAGCCATTAACCTCTACCATTTCTCCTCCGCTGAAACGACCCTAGCTGTTCGCCCTGGGCAATGGGACCCAGCCTCTTCAGTCCCAGGCCCTTCATCACGGGCCATTTGGCAAAATACTGCTCACCCCAGCCTTTTGGGCTCAGGAGACAGTTGGCTGCCAGCCAATCAGAGGAAGAGAAGGAAGAAAGAGAGAGGGAGGGAGGGAGGGAGAAAGTGTTCCATGTCAAGTTTCCTCTCTGGGGCTACTCTTCGCCCTTCCCCCCTTCCCCTTTGTGTCACAATTGCTGCACACATATTAATGTGTCTTCTCTTAAAGGGGCAGCCTTCTTTGTACTGAGAGGGCAAATACACACACACACACACACACACACACACACACACACCTAAAATCAATGTAGCAATATAAGAAAGCATTTATAAGAAAAAGAAAGGCTCACATTTGGTGGAAAGAAACCCCAGTGCTACAGTAATTATTCCTCAAATCTTTGGGAATATGTTATCATCTACATAACATGTGTAGCTGGCATTGTGGTTGGAAGAAAGTTCTTCTTCACCATGGTTCTGTGGTAAGGTTCCCCAACATGGGTATACTTCACATTAATTGATATTCTACTATATTGAGAAAGTGGTTGTGTTAAAGTATCAAATTTAAATATTAATATCCCGGTTATGTCCCCATGGAATTGATGGAATGTTCCTTATATTAGTTTTACTTACCATTTCCATCTTTGGGGAGCAAGTGAATTTGCCAGTTTGTATGTGGAAAGGGGACCACCAGGACATCTCACAGATAGAAAAACAGGCTAATTTGGAAAGCACAGCAGTTATGCTGTTGGTATGTGGAAAGGGGACCACCAGGACATCTCACAGATAGAAAAACAGGCTAATTTGGAAAGCACAGCAGTTATGCTGTTGGTATGTGGAAAGGGGACCACCAGGACATCTCACAGATAGAAAAACAGGCTAATTTGGAAAGCACAGCAGTTATGCTGTTGGTATGTGGAAAGGGGACCACCAGGACATCTCACAGATAGAAAAACAGGCTAATTTGGAAAGCACAGCAGTT